TTGCTAAGTGAGTAAACCATTCTTTTTGTAAGTCCATCAAGAGCGCTTCGCGCCTTTCAAGGAGTCATGTTACCAGGCTTACTCTTGATAGTCTCGTAGCAAGATATTAAGAATTTAGGATCTGCAAGAAGACCTATTAGATCCGTATATCTGCCCGAGAGTTTGCATTCTCTCAACGAAGAAGAAAGACCTCCAGGGATCTTATCCGGAGGAAGGCTCTTGTTCGTCTGCGGAATCAGACTGACCCTCTTCGCTGCCTGTAAGGGTTGGTTTCCCTCCCCAGCTACTATAGGGCCTCCATGTTGCAACCTAAGCTGTTTACATCCCGTGGTTAATTTTTTTTTCGAAATTTTGTAATTCGAAAATATTTTAGAATTAAACTTTTTTTTCGATATTTCTTTTTCAACATTTCCTTTTCAAAATCATTTCTCATTAATTCTTTTTCGAAAATACGCATTTCTTCGTAATCAATTATTTTTTGAATTTTTTGTAATTCGAAATATAATTCATAATTAATTAAATTATTTTTCGACATTTCCTTTTCGACAATATTTCTAATGAACTCGTTTTTGATTTTTTTTGAAAACTACGAACTTCGAAAATAATTTTGACTAATTATTCTTCGGAATTTTTGTAATTCAAAAATCTTTTCGTTCAAATTAATTCACGACTGAATTAATCTCTTTTTTTCTTGGAATTAATTATTTCTTTTCATTTGGAAATTCCTTTCGCTTTCGTATTTTATTGAAAAAATACATTATCGAATTAATTTCGAATAAATTCAAATTAATTTATTCAAAATTATTTCTTGCTCTGCGATTCTCTGCTACCTTCATTGCTAAATCACTTGATGACGCTCTACTCTTGTAAATAGGAATTGTCCCCCCCTTCTCCACATGCCACCACGCCAAACCAAGACCTCCCAACGCGCCGCCGCCGACGCCGCTGCCGCTGTCACTATCACATCCGGTGCTACCACCTCCACTGCTCCATCTTCCTCCGCCACCTCGCCTTCGTCCTCTCCAATGACCGAAGGTGCTTCAACCCTAAACATGAGCTCTCTACACGACGACTCTGTGGCGGATATCCACCCCGAACTCGTTGGCCAACAAGCAATCGGGGAGAACACCCCCGACCCATCCCTCCTCTCCATCCTTCGGTCCGTACAGGACTCCCTCTGGACACTCTCCACTTCCGTCGCTGACATCTCAAGCCGGTTGACCGCCCTCGAGTCCCAAATCACTATCCCCTCCATCCAGGTGGTCACCACCACCACCCCCACGTCCACAGCCGCCTCCAGCCACCCCCCCCCGCCGACCTCCTCCACTCCTACTACCTCTACCACCACATCCACCACCTCTGCCTCCTCCACCCTTCTCCCCCCCTCATCCGGCGCATCCAGCACACCGCCTCATTCCTCGCCCATCCACGTGACCCCTCTTCCCCCCCCGCACTCCCATACTATTTCACAACCGAAGTGTCCCTCTGTATCATGGCATTCCCCTAGGGTCAGACTGTGGATCTCTTCACTGTTGGGAATGCAGAGTCGGTCTACTACATTGGTCTTCGAAAATAGAAAACCCTTTGTAGTGCGGTAATCTGGCTCAGTCTCTGGGGCCTCCTTAACTCTCTTGAGGTGGTCACTATAGATAGGGTCCTGCAGATATGCTTGTCTAACCTTCTCCTGCAGGTCACTCCCTATGTCCAGATAGTGAACTATGGCTCCAAAGAAGTCTGATCTCCTACTCAGAGCATCCGCAACTACGTTGTACTTGTCCCTAACTGCCTTGAGCTCAAAGTCATATTGGTCTATCTCAGCGGCCCACCTAGTTAACTTAGGTGTCATCTTGGCCTGTGTCTTCAACCATCTAAGAGTCTCATGGTCGGAGTACACCTTGAAGTGCCTCCCAAGCAGGTAATGCTTCCAATGCTCTAAAGCCTGCCTGAGAGCGTAGAGTTCCCTCTCGTACGTCGAGGTAGCAACCTTCTCTAAGGGCATCCTCGCTGACATGAACTCTAGGGGTCTGTAGCCATTGCCGTCGTCCTGCTGTAACACGACGCCTATTCCATACTGACTCGCGTCCGTGGTGACGACAAATGGCAAAGACGGATCTGCTACCTTGAGGACAGGATACTCTATCAATGCGCGTTTTAATTTCTTTAGCACAGACGTACAATCTTTATCCCATTACCAGATTGCCTCTTTCTTGAGCAACCTGCGCAAGGGAGTGACGATAGTAGAGAAGTTCCGCACGAACTTCCTGTAATAATTAGCTAGGCCCAAAAACGACCGCAACTCTGTCAATGTGCGGGGTGTCCGCCAGTCTCTAATTGCCGCGATCTTGCCGTCCTCTGGCTTAATGCCATCTCCGTCTACTACATGGCCCAAGTACAAAACTTGTGTCTTGGCCCACTCGCACTTCTTCGCGTTGATCTTGAAGTTAGCCTCTCTGAGCTTCTCCAAGACCTGCCTCAAATGACCCTGATGCTCTTGGAGGGTCTTACTGAAAACTAGGATATCGTCTAAATACACTACGACGAACCTATCTAACCAAGGCCTAAACAGGTCGTTCATACATCGCTGAAATGTGGCTGGCGCATTGGTAAGTCCAAAGGGCATCACTATGAACTCATAATGCCCATATCTAGTCCGGAACGCAGTCTTATACTGGTCATCAGGATGGACCTCTATCTGATGATATCCAGACTTTAAATCTATCTTGGAGAAATACTTACAACCCTGCACCCGATCTAAGAGATCGTCTTTCCTGGGCAGTGGTTCAACATTCTTGACTGTGATAGCATTCAGACCCCTATAGTCCATACACGCGCAACTCTCCCTCCTTCTTGGGGACAAACAAAACAGGTGCTCCAAAAGGAGACGAACTGGGCCTGATCCAACCTTTCTCAAGGAGCTCGTCTAACCACTTGCGCAGCTCCTCTAACTTTCTAGGGGACATCCTGTAGACCGCTCCGTTAGGACTTCTACCGCCAGGCTCTATCTCTATCCTATGGTGGATCGGTCGCGACACCACTCCTGTTGGCGGCTCTGAGAGATCTTTAAACTCTTCCAGCAGCTTGGCAATGGCTGGATCCGTGGAACTAACCTCTTCCTTAGGCTCAGTGACAGGTCTAACATACACTACAAAGAGCTGATCCTCTAACTGCTCCTTTTTCACTAATCGCGCGAACACGGGAGCACTGAGACAGCAATGTGCCAAGGGGTTGTCTACCCCCGACGCATGGAACAGACGGGTTGTCTTAACCTCGCTTGTCGGACTAGGGAGCCTACACTCATGCTCTCTCAAGTGGAGTGTGGCCCCTGCTGCCTCTCCCCAGTCCATACCTAGGACTATGTCAAAAGGAAGGTCATCCTGTACGAGGAGAGTCAGGGAATGAAGAACTTTCTCCACCTTCCCATCTTTCTCTAGGCGAAAGTACGCCTGGACTCCCTCTACGTAGTCCTCAACACACATAGTGCGGTTGTCTGCGAGGACACTAACTATGGGGTCTGCTAAGTTTTGGACTTTAAGTCCTAGCCTCAGCTTCTTCAGCGCTTTACGACTAACATAACTGCGGGTGGCCCCTGAATCTATAAGGGCCCCTACTTTGCTTCTAAAAACCTCTACATCAACTAACACTAACTGCCCCTTACTATCTTTCTTCATTTTGGCCCAGGCTCGCATCCTCTCCTTTAACTCTTATGCCACGCCTGTGAGGGACGTGCCTAGAGAGACGCTGATGCAAGCAGTCTCTGGACAGCTAACTAGGCACGGGCCTGCAACCTCTGTCGAAGGCACATGTGGTGTGGGAGTTTCCTCTACGCGCGCTCTCGCTTCCCCACATGGCCTAGTAGTAGGGGCAGTTGCGACCCCTACCGGCGGCTGCCTTTTGACTCCTGGGCAGCCCAAAGTGCCTGTCTATACTTAGGACAATATTTTATGATATGGGCAGGGTCACCACAATAAATGCACTGCCCCTGCTCCATTCGCTACTGCCAAACTTTCTGGTCCAGGCCCAGATCTTCCCAGGGACGGCCTTGTGGCCAACCCGGGTGCCAACCTCCGGACCTTTGAGTTGACCTGCCACCTCGTTGCTATGGGGACCGACTAGGACCTTGACGATTCGGCGGGGGACCTTGACCCTTACCTCCGGCTTGACGGTTCCCTTGACCGCCAACCCCCTGTGCGCCTGATCCTCGGCCTCCCATGGCCTGACCCCTTTGGCCCTGGCCTCCTCTACCCTGCGGCCTCCCTCTAGCCGCGACAATAGCATAGGACCTCCCCTGCCCCATGCTACTGTCCTCCTCCTCGAGGCCCCACTCAATCTGACTATACGGGACCTCGTCAGTACCACCTTCCTCCAATGTAAGGATAATGTGATCCTTGGCCCTAACCTGACCTGAGATGGTACGCCCTTTCCACTTCTTCCCCTTGTCTAAGTCCTTGTGCCAGAAAGTGGTAACAGGCATAGACTTCGCCTCTTACAGCACCACCTCCCTACTCAGCACATCGTATGTCATGGTGGGCTGTTGACTCTTGTCAAAAAAGTGCCCTCTCAAGGGCTCTGGGATGGCACGATAAAACAATTGGACCAACTAGGTCTCAGTGACCCCGTGATCTGGGACGGCTACTAAGTCGTCCATGGCAGCTTTGAGTGCTCTCGCACTCCTCCACTACCGTGAATGGATGGTTTGCAATTTGTCGGAGGCCCTGACGCCTCTAGTGACGTCAGCCAACCTCTCCCGCAGGAGTCTGAGGAAAGTAGCGAGGGAGGTAAGTCTAGAGTATGCAATCATATTGTACTCGCAATCTGCGGCACGTGCAAGAGACCTGGCGAAGCTGGCTGCTTCGTCCTTTAAGGCATGGAAGGCAACGAGGACTTGCTCCTCGGGGGCAATATGCTGTAAAAAGACATAGGTGTTTATGCTGGCCTCCCAGTTATCGAAGTTTTCCTCCTTCTTTCTGCTATATGGGTCAGGGAACTTCACTTTAACCGGCTCTTTGCGAGGGCGAGCTGTGGCCTCTATCGTGGCCACAACCTTAGCGGTCTCGATGACTCCAGCGCAGAACTTGTCTACACCATCCCGGAGTCTTCTAATCTCAGCCCCACGTCGCTCGCAAACTCCCTAAACCCATATCGCATCGCTTGCAACGTCACATCTTGGCCCTTACGGGCCAGGTGCTCTTCTAGCCAGGCCTCTCTCAAAATTTCTAGGAAGCCCATCACCTTGTCCAGTTTCGCAGAGACCTCTGTTTGGACCTGCAATTCCTGCCGGTCGGTTCGCACACGCTCAACATCCCCGGCTATTCTACTGGCTTCCTCCCTCCTTCGCTTCTTCTCCCTCGTCATTTTTAACTTCCACTCCAACTTCTTCTCATTTTCTGTCTCCTGGCGTTCCACAGGGTCTTCTATCATCTCTAGTGCCCTGGCAAACGCCTCTCTCTCCTCCTGTGGTACATACAACTCTGCTTCTTCGTCTTCTCCTAACGATAAGTTAGCCACCCATTTGCTGATCTTCTTTTCCCTCCATCTATCTTCTTCCTCCTTCGTGCCACTGACTTCCCCTCTCTCCTCTCTGCGTCTCCTCTCAAGGGGTTCTTCCTTTTCTTCTTCCTCCTCTCTTGCTGCTTCTTCCTCTGCAGCCTTCCTCCTTTCTTCCTTCTCTCTTTCTATCAACATCAACTTCTCCCTTTGAAATCTTATCATCTCCTCCTCCAATCTTTTCTTCTGCGCCGCCTCTTCCTCCTCAACAACGTTTAGTTTTGCCTGCTTCAAGAGCTCCTTCTTTTCTCTCTTTTCTTTCAAGAGGGCGGCAATCCGGGCCTGCTCGGCCTCGGAGGGGGCAGTACTCTTCCCTGTACGGGTGTCAACCATGGTGGAAGGTGCACAACCAGACAACGGTTCCACTCCTCACCACTTAAACTCTACTCCCCCTGGTTCACTCACCTACTGACTCGATCTAAGAGCTTACAAAATCCGGACAGGATCCTGTCAACTATGGTCACTTGCCTGGACCTACTCTAAGGCTGTCACTACTAGACCTTTTGCTGATCAGGAGGCATTTAAGGAGATCCCCCGTAACTCCTCAGGAATTATTTAACATCGCAAACAGGATGACGCGATCAGCAGGTCTCTCAACACTTAGACTGCCTGTTGTGCAGCCCACAACTCAGGCTTTCGGGCCTATCGTGCCACACCGAGCAGCCCGCCGGTCTGTACCGGTCCTTGGGAGGGTTCGTGTCCTCCGGGACAGTCGAGTCGTGAGACGCAGTCTTTAGCCCTACTTAGTCCGGCAGGGGTTTGGTCAACGAGGCCCTATCCTTCATCCACAGAGTTCCTACACCTAGACAGAAGAGACTCAATGCAGAAAGAAGAGACAGACAGACTTGACTCAGCAAGTACCACAGGGTGTGTGCGCATCCATAGGGCGAGGGGTAGGCTTAAGGCTTGGCGAGATTATACCGGCTCCAGCTTGGTCAAAGTCGTGGTCAACGGTCTTGGTCAACGCTCGGTCAACGCTTGGTCAACCCTTCCGGTCAACTCCTCTAGTGAGCTATGGCTGCCGACTTCTTCTTCCTCACCACCCTTCTCCTTCCTCGCCACCTTTCTCTTCACCCCGACTGTCTTCTTTCTCTTTTTTTTTTTTTTTTTTTTTTGATCGTCTTCTCCCTTCTCCTCCTCCGCTTTCTCTCTCAATCTCTTTCATCCTCTGTGGTCGAGTTCAGCGGCTATGGCCGCCTCTCACTTTGTGGGACTGCACGGCACACGTTACAGGTAGGTGACAACCAAACTTGTATCGCTCATCTCTCTCTCTCTCTCTCTCTCTCTCTCTCTCTCTCTCTCTCTCTCTCTCTCTCTC